AGGAGTAGTTTGTCGTGTACCACTGAATCAAAGGCTTTATAGAAGTCCATGTAGATTGTTTCTATTGCTTTGCCCTGATCGAGTTGTGTAGTCCATATGTTTTTGCAGTGTAAGAGTTGCAGATTACAGGATAGTTTTTTTTCTGAAACCAAATTGTTTATTAGAGAGTAGGTTGTTTGTCTCTAAGTGGAGGATAATGGATTGGTTAATAATTGATTCCATGACTTTACAGGTGATGCAGCATAAGGAGATTGGTCTGTAATTTTCAACTAGGCTGTTTATATTATTTATATTATATTTGTTAGTTGATTAGCAAAAAGTACACCTATTTTTTCTGCTTGGTTTGGTGGCCTATAATGCAATATAAAAGAAAAAAAAGGATGACATGGCTATGTCATTCTTTTTTCTTTCTTTTATATTGACCCATATGCATTCTAGGAGATTTTTGTCTTTGGTTCGGTGCATTTCTGTAGCAATGTAGTGCTCCATCTCCTCTTTTGTGGGGTCTGGTTTTTTTGAACAGTTTATATATTTTAAATACTTTATACTTTAAATTATTGCCATAATAAAGATGTTATTACGTTATGTTCAAAAACAGATTTATGGCTTCCAGATAAGTTTAAAATGAATATGGATATCTATAAGCGTGATTTTAGACATACAGAAAAATGATAAGCTTGCTTCAATGAGAAGGAAACATGGGAAATAATTCATATTTCATATGCATGAGTTTTCCCAACAGTGTCTTACTAGGCCCTGCTCTATCACTTGGATTGCTCTTCCCCAGTCCTTGATTAGACAGAAAATTATAACAGCACAATATTTGTTATCCCTACTCTTGACCATTATCTTGATTGAATTGCATATATTTTCATTTGTTATCAGTTCCCTGGCTAACATACAATGTAATGGATGACAAAGCTTAGTTTACACACCTAAAGATGTCCTTAGACAGTGTCAAAATAAACTATTTTATCATTGATTGAGCTTATAGAAATTGAAGCTTAGCTTATTGATGGGTTGGGGGATGAACTGATGTTAATTTAATGACTATATAGTAGGAAAAAGGAGGTTTACCATCAGGTAAAAGTAGAAAAGAGCAAATAGAAAATTCTAGTCATTTAGTCATCGGTGTGAAAATAATGAGGATGATCTTATAACTCCCTTCAAAAATAGTTGTTTAATGCTGGAAGGCATTGAGATCCTATCTGAAACATAAAATTATTCAGAACTGTTAAGTTGTTTTAATAACAACACATAAAAATGTTCATAAAAATATTAAGGGAAGTCTTCATTATGTGATTTCCCCCCCTCCCTCTCTATCTCATTCACTTACCTGCTGGTACTTGACATACTATTTACAAGTTTCATTTTTAACATGACAAGTTCTTATTTGATTTTGAAGAACCAAAAAAGGCATGCTCACAAATTTTCTGGATGACTTATGAAACTAACTAAAATGGGAATGTATGATATCAATTTTTTAAAAAAGTTTTTATTTTTTACACAGACATAGACATAATATAAAACATAAAACCATCTTTCAGTTACATATTGAACAGATATCTAGGGATGAATTAGGAATGAGAGAAAGAGTGAAAGCAATTCCAATTATTTTAAAATAGGAATACAAATATGAAGAAGGAAATTATTAGACTAAACACTAGTCATGAAAGAAAAAATGGAGAAAACATACTGTAATGGAATCTACTTCTTTTCCACATAATGTTGTTGACAAAAATGCTGAGGTATTGTCCGGTTTACATGTTTATTTTCTAAGAATTGGTAAAAAATTATTTAGGAATTAGTGATTTCAGATGACATCTGAGAACATAAATTAGGAATCATGATCCAATACATGGAGAAATTGATACATTGAATATACAAAATATTCACACCAATAGAGGATAAAATGTACATTCATTATCTGATTTGTGTTTATAAAGTGCAATGCTTTTTAAAGGTATTGAAAGCACCGGCCTAAAGATGGTGAGTGGGACCTTGTTGAAACATTGCCAAGATGCTTTCAACCTTAC